CATTATGTTGATTTGAGGTAAAATCACTAACTTACTGAACATTTGGTATATAATAAATTCTTATGTAGTATCGGCGTACTAAACAAATAGTGCATGTTTATTTCTATTGTAGTGCAATTGTGATCGAAAGAGGCCCAAACGTATTGACTGGAAAGCATATGTGCGATCTTTTGTTTGATCAGCATCTGAGTGGGGAGCACATCGACATATACATGAACCTGTTAAATTCCGAAGCGATCATGGATGAACATGGGCATGAGATTGATTATCTCGAGACCCTTGCCCAGGTATAAACTGGTTTAACAAATATGTTGCATTCTGTGTATACTGGTTTATCTTATATTTTTTTTATTATGTTTCGTAGTATGAGATACTGGCACGAGATCGAATGGACTTCAGAAAGATGGGTGATACAGAGTTGGATACCTTTTTAAAGAGCTTAACATATTTTGGATCTACCGCAGTTGAGAAGATTGGAATAGCACGTCTCTACAGCAAAAAATATGTTCTTATACCTATAAATCCCAAAGATCACTGGTTCTTGCTTGTATTGGACCCAAACGAAAAAGTTTTTCGGCATTGGAACTCCCTATCCCATTCTCCGATCGACGAGCCCAGGAATTGCAAATTATATCGTAAGTCCTTAAATCGATGATTACTTCTTTAATTTATATATTGGGGAATGTGGTATATGTTTTATTAATACATAGTTTGGGTACTGTGATTGAAAGGTGCTGCAATATGGTAATGAAAATACATGTATACTAATATAATAGTATATTTTTTTAGGCGAGTTATTATAGCAGGGTGATTGAAAATAAAACCGCGTTGGATATACCTTCACATCTCGAATGGGTAGAAGGATGCAGACAACAAGAAGGGAATGATGATTGCGGGATTTTTGTCTGCATGTGGGCATATTGTCATGCTAGAGATGACGCTGAGACTTGGAAAAAGGCGAAAACTTGCTTGATCAAAAAACTCCGTCCAAAACTAGCAATTGTCTTCTTAAAGCACCAAGGCGTGGATAGAGAGGCAGTAGATGCTGATGCTTTGAACATATTTTGAACAATTTTTAAAATTATTTTTGATTATTTTTGAACAATCTGTTTTATGGGTGTTTTTGGGTTGTGATTGTCACGAACAATATGCTTTTGACTGTCTTTGCATGAACAAGTACTTTTAGATTAGTGCCCTTTTTGTGGTGTTGTGACACCTATTTTGAATAGTGTAAGTGTTTTGCAAATTAGTTTTTAATACTTTGTTAGTTTCTTGTCGATGCGTATAACCTACCCCATCTATACCATTACCTAAAATGAGGAATACCATAATGTTGATGACTTGAATTGCTCAAATTTGTTTTGCACATTTGTGATCCATAAGTTTAGGAAAGACATTAAATATGTTTTAAATTAAGGTTGTAAGGTTTTTTGAGGTTAGTTTTAACTTTGGGGTTCAAAATGGAAAGAATGTATCGAATTCCTTACAAGATACACTACTAATGTACAAGGCTTCTATGTATAAGTGATTGTTTTCATCACAAGTGACCATATTCAACAACTATGAACTCCCAAGTTGTTTCAATTCTTGTAAATGAGTCACAAAATGAATAAATGAGTTATGAGATGGTTTTCTATGGCTGTATTGACCCCAAATGATAATATAACAAGGGTACTATTAGTATAGTACATAAGTACTATATCATTGGCAAACGGATACAACACAACGGTTCCGTCCATCCATATACACTCCACTGATTATACTAGTCGTTAGACCAATCAACACCATAATATTGATGGCTTGAATTGCTCGATATTTTTTTATACATTTGTGATCCATAAGTGTGGGAAAGACATATAATATATTTTAAATTAAGGTTGTAAGGTTTTTTCAGGTTAGTTTTGACTTTGGCATCCAAAAATGAACAAATATATCGAATTCCTTACAAGATACACTACTAATGTACAAGGCTTCTATGTATAAGTGATTGTTTTCATCACAAGTGACCATATTCAATACCTATCAACTCCCAAGTTGTCTCAATTCTTGTAAATGAGTCACAAAATGAATAAATGAGGGATGCGATGGTTTTCTATGGTCGTGTTGACCCCAAATGGTACTATAACAAAGGTACCATTAGTACAGTACATAAGGACTATATCGTGGGAACTATAATACGTAGATATTGTACGATCCATGCGTGAGTTGTGAACGTGATATACAGAACAGTAGAAGAACAATAACTATCAATATATTGTATAAGTACATTTCTTACGAACAACAACAATTGATTCATCGATAGAGTTAATTTATTTGTAAGTACCCAAAGTACTTACACATTGACATTACAATACGATTAACGAGCTACAATACACGACACTAACTTTTAACTTGTATTGTTACGGTGATTAGTTAAGAAACAATACATAGGTTTGACAAATCATGTAAACTGCAAATATTACTAGGTTTAACACTATAAATAGCTTCATCTCTGGAATTCTTCACTTTACTTTCGCGATGAACTTGGTTCGTCGATCCACTCGTAGCTTCACTTTCTTCATATCGAGAATAGTTGTGGGAGAAAGTTTTCCCAATTTCAAATGGCTCACACCAATGAGAATAGCCATGGTCTGGGCAACAATAAAATAGCCTCCCTTGATTCAAACTTGTCTCCGAAACCATGATTATTGTTTTTTTCCCACAATCACGACGCTTGCAGTTATCTTTTTTATATTTTAAGCTACTCTTTTGAGAGTTGCTACTGGAAGAAGCCATGAATGAGAAGCAAATGAACATAATTAGGTGCTTTTTATAAGTTCTGACGACAAAAATAACGGCTATATTATTGTAACGGTCATAAAATTCAAATCGATTCACTTATTATTCTTCTGTGAACCATATTATGTTGTACGTTATACCATATCAACGTAACAACAATACTATTGTAACTAAAACAGTGCGCTCTATTGTAACTAAAATAGTCATATCATGGTACATACAAATGGATAAATAGTACGAAGTATATGTCAACAAAGTACAAACAACATAAAAAGAAAGTAGAAACAGAGTAGTGCTACGGGACTGGTTGTTTGCACGTACGGCGATTATGTCCAGGTTTACCACACCGTGCACACTTCGTAGCACGGGTTTCGACTTGCGATGGAATTCTTTTCGTCCTTCTACGGCCTGGTTGAGCTTTCGATGCAGGTGGATTAATAAATACATCTTCCGGGCCATGATTTGTTTGTGCATTGTACAAATCAAATTCCTCATCAAAAGAAGGAATTGGATTAATTGTGTACTTGTATACTTCTTTGTACAAATCAACCCGGAAGCAAGGATCAACAAATTCAAATACCGAATATCCTTTCGACTCAATACATGCACATGCATGTTTGCACGGAAGTTTATCCAACTGCCAAGATTTGCAAGTACAGGTCCTAGTCTCTAAATCAACACCATACGACTTATCCTCTTCATACACCTCATAACGCGTACCACTGGATCTGGTATATTTTAATAAGCGAGAGGCCGTATAGTTGATTAATAATCTCTTTTCAACTCTTGGACACACTGTACCAGCCATGACTAAAGAATCTTCCCGTCGATTACCTATCATCTTCATTATTTTGATTCGTATCATATCAATCATGGATGGAACTGGCAAAGATCGTTCATCTTTAACCCAACCATTCCAACATTCAACTTGGTTACTGTTCATTATTCCCCATCTATCCCCAGAAAAATATGCATTGGCCCAACGATTGGGATCAGAGTCTCGGATAAATGATTCCGCACGAGGCATTGATTGAACTATATGAGATATATGTTCCTCAAACTCTTGCCGAGTAGGAGCAATTGCAGCCTTATGTAGAACACTCACCCAATATGCTTTGTTGTGCAATGGATACGATCTTAGAACCTTTATTCTAAAGTTATCCTCCAAATGTCGCAATAAATAAGCATGGTTGCTACCAGGAAATACCAGTGGAATGGCTTTAATAAGCCCCGAATGACGATCAGAGAAAATTGTGTAATTTTTCAATAAACCCCCATTGTGATAAACAGGAATCTCTTTCAGCTTATTACAAAACCACTCCCAATTCCTATCATTCTCGGCATCAACAATTGCATAGGCCAATGTGTATAACTCATCATTTGGATCTTTGGACACAACAGAAAGTAAGCAACCTTTGTACTTATTTTTAATATGAGTCCCATCCAAACATATCATTTGCCTACAC